ATCTACAACCCATTCCCAAGTTTTCAAGAGTGGCTTTAAAAGCAACACCACATCGACGTTCTTTACGTCAACATTAACATCAAACAAACTTACTTCCAACTCGCTCTCTCCACAATTAATCATCAGTTGCTCCATCAATGATCCAAAAACTTCGCGATCTATAGAAAAAATAAGTAAAATGAGCGAACATTAAAAAAAAAATTAAAAGAAAAAAATATATATGCAGCAAACAGGGGCAGCCGAGGATTGGGGGTTGGGGGTGGGTGGGGGGTGGGCGTGGCGGTTTATTGACGGAGGGTGGCTCTCATAAGGGGGGGAGGGGGCTAATTTGAGAATTTACTCTTACAAATTGCACTTACCTATCAAAGGATTTAGTCTGAGGTCCAACACGTAAATGGTGGAGTTGAACTTTAAGACCGGCTGGAAGGCCATTGCACCCTCGGTTGAAATCCCACACTGTTGCATATCCAAAGCTGCAGAGGAAAATTTACGACGATGAAAAATTAAAATAATACTAATAATAAAAATCATAAACTCAGAACAATCTCACAGACTGCACAATATATTTGAAGATGCTAAAATAAGCACAGATATTTGTAGTGTTCCACGAATCTCTTTTGTTTCCTTAAGTTCCATTCTCCGAACTGATGATAAATCCAAGGACAAATAAACGCATAAAGTTTAGCACCAAATCAGATCTAACAAAACTGACCTTTAACCCAGAGATCATCTTTGAGTGCTTCAGCAATCAACTGAGCTCCCTGATCGTTAATCATTGGATTTTTACAAATGGTTATTCGCCGAAGTCCAGGCATTCTGTCGAGATCTGGACGACGATACCGCAGGCTGTCTTGCCACGCGACACCATGACGTCTTGTTGCTTGGTGCTATGTATGAATAAAGCAACACTCAGTAGTAAGTTGATAGTCCTTCAAAACTCAATCCACGATTCTGCATGACGACGAGATTCGAGGCTCGAGTCAAGTATGGAGACGTTCGAGTCGAGTTATGCGACGTTCGAATCGCTCGAGTCGAGTTTTGAAACGTTTGAGACAAGTATTGAGTGGTACGTGTCGAGTTTCGAGACGTTCGAGACAAGTAGTAAGTCATACGAACAAAAGTTTCGAGATGTCCGAGCCGAGCATTGAGTCGTGAGAGTCGAGTTTCGAGACGTCTGAGTCGAGTATCGAGTCGTGCGGGTCGAGTTTCGAGAAGTCCGAGTCGAGCATCGAGTCGTACGAGTCTAGTATCGAGTCGTACGAGTCGAGTTTTGAGACGTTCGAGACAAGTTTCGAGACGTCCGGGTCGAGTGTCGTGTTGCACGTGTCGAATTTCGAGCGTGCATCATGCCCTATGAACCGTGAAAGATCATAACAAAACTCTGACTCATTGAAGAAAAATAATTTACTACACCTTTATCACTTTAGCAAGAGTGTCTGCTCCTTTCCAGGTTAGACTGCAGCCAGAGAAGTTCACAGTCATCACGGACGTGTTATTTTTTATCGCGTTGCAAAGGACTGCAAAGTGAAATGTAAGTCTTAGTCGAGGTTTAATTTGATAATAAATGAAGACTTGTATTTTAATAAAATCTATGTTTATCTCATTGGAAATATTTCACATCAGTTTCTGCCTGGTATAGCACGGAATTATGTCGCACCCAATATGCGCATCAGATGTATTTGGAATTTTCGGCCAAACTCGTTGACAGCTCAAGCTCAAAGTCCCGTTCACAACTATCATCTTAAACATGGCCGTTGGAAATTCGAGCATGATGCTTGACAAGTTTGATAAAAATTCTCAAGAGTATCTGATGATATTCTAAGGCAAATCAAAATACCAGCCACAAACTAGAAGAGAAAAATTTATTATCGAAAAAATATTTACGACTACTCACTTTCAACGCCACTGTCACCGATTTGGCAGAACTCCAAGGACAAATGCTGTAGAGTTTTGTTCTTTTTTATACCCTTGGAGGAAAAAGAAATTTGTGTTTTTGTGTCAAAAACTTGAAAAACAAAGGTAATAAAATATTCTGAGTAATAATTACATATTTTAAGACTTATAATCCTATCCAACAGGCTCCAACTGTAAATATTTTGACCATTGAATGATTCTCATTGAAAGGTGAAGGCATAAATGAGCAAAATTTTTTTTTTGATTGGTTTCAATAAGGTAAATGAAATTTGGATTACAATGTGGTTTACTCTAAAATCAGTCAGTAACATCTAAAATTGGACACTAGAGTCTAGAGTCTAGTACACTATTGTCTAAAACCTCACACCAGTCTCAAAAATTAGACATTGGTGCCTAAAATCAGACACTAACATCCAAAATGAGACACTAGCATTTAACATTGGATACTTGAGTCGAAAACTGGACACTTGTGTCTAAAATCACACATAAGTGTAAATCAACCACTAGTGCCTATGAAATTGGAGAGTAGTGTAGAAAATCAGGTACTATTGTTCAAAATAGGACACTGATGTCCAAATTCCCACAACTAGAGCCAAAATTCCCCACAATTTGTAGCCTTATCGCCTTATTATCATACACTGAGCATGCAGCACCCATAGTATGCAAACTCTTTTTTTTCCTATTTTTTATCAACTTGCAAGACCTCTTACAGTAATACCAAGAGAGGAGTACTATTGGTCTGCATGCGCTGAACTCCTTGTAAAAAATTTATGTTAACAATTTTTTCACTTATCACTTCTTGTACCTTTGCTAGGCAGGTCAGGTCTCTTTCTCTAAGAGGAATTCCTTCAAAAATCAGAGATGTCAAATTCTCTGAAACAGCTAAACACTCTTTGATGGCTCTGCAAAATTCACAGTCGGAATGTTTGAACTGTTGATCATTTATCAATAATGAAACTAAGAATGTAAAAATAAATCAGTGACATAAATTAATCAGTTCCAAAAATTAACAATTTTACAGTCTTCTTAATCAAAGGTGGTTTAAACATTCTGACTGTTGTTCAAAGATCCTTAAAATTAAAATTGCAGAGTGCTTTAGAGTTGCTATGATAAATTGAAATTTGTATGCTCTTGTAGAGATCAAGTTACCCTGAGTCTGATCTAGAGCACTCCATTACAGGATTGCCCTGGTTTGAGCAAATATATCCCCTTCAAACACCTGTTCTGGGTCATTTACATGCACTTCAAATTATGTTTCAGAAGAAAAAGAGACAAGGAAATGTAATTTTATCTCATACAAAATCTTTTTAAAACAATATTTTGTTTAAATTTCAGAGGATTAAAGTGAAGCAAGAACCAAAATCCAAGGAATATGACGAATATAAAAGGCTCAATTTTCTGAGGTTCCCAGACACAAGTTTGAATAAATGCTATAGGGGGAGTAGATTATGTCCCTCTGAAAATTGTTGACTAGGACACCTTTCCCCCCCCTTTGCTGGAAGTCCTAAATCAGACTCTGGTTACAACAATCACAACATCAGGAGGAAAATAATCGCTGTAATGTTCTATCAAATGAATATATTCAAAAGAAAACAATTTTCACACTTCTAAGTGGGGAAACAGAATAGCTTATTAGCTTTGAGTGAATTACTGCACCTGCAGACCCTGTATGTGACATCCTTGCTACGGATTGGAGGTGCTTTCTTCCTCAATGCTTGCAAACGTTGCTCTGTTACTTCTGATGTAATAAGAGTTTAACAGGATTAAAGTAATGACTGACTGTCCACTAAGTTAAAGATAAAGTTGGATAATATAGCACTTTTCTAGAGCTGATTATGAATACTGACAAAGCTGGATATGTATTATTCAGGAATAGCTCTGTACATAATTTAGTGTTAACAACTGAGTTAAGCTGCTGGAGCGATTGCTCTGATGAGGGGCTAATGCTTGAAATGTCAGCCTCTTAACTCTTTACGGCGGCTAATTTACATTTTCAACTCAGTTGTTAACACTAAATTACCTGCTATGCTCTCACACTGACACAGCACCACAGTTTCTTTAGAAACTTACCCCCTTTATTCAATAGCTCTGCACAGCTGAACAGAGCAAGACTGGGTGTGTGGCATGGGAACAGGGAGGTAAAAAAAGCAGTCTGTACTTGAGCCAATTGGCCCATCCACCTGGATCTTATCCCAGTTTCCATAGCATAACAAGGGGTATAATATTACCTGTACTACTCTCCCTGGATGGGATGCCCATTCATCACAAGGTTACCCCCCCCAGCATTTCATCAGTCTTCCCTGACAATTTGCTGGAACCTATTTCTACTCATAGTGGTCCAAAAACACAACACAATGACCCAACTGGGTCTCGAACCTGAAACTTTCAACCCAGATGGAATTTTCGAAAACCAGGCGTCTCCAGGTTTCAGATTCCTGGTAAATGACTGGTACCCGTTTGTATCTGATCGCGTACACTTGAAGGGAATAATCAAGACTCCTAAAGAGCTGAATTAGAGTCAAACACTGTATACTGTCGCTCCAATTTCAATATTGCATACCTCCATCTGGATAAAGTGTTTGCTGCCAGTAACTCCTGAATGCGACACTTTTCAATGTCTTGTTGATCTTAAGTGCGTTCAAGATTGGCATCCAATCCGAATGGCGGATCCGATCGGCATTGCAATCAATGGTGAGTTCATCTAGATTCGCAGTGATTGATCCCAGAGGACATGAGTTCTGCAAAGCACACAGATTATCGTAACACGAAGGAAAATCAACGGAGTTCTTCTGTCTCTGACGGACTGTCTCAATCATGGCCATAATTGGCGCGCATTTGCTCGGAAATTACAACAGTGCAGCCCCAACGAACTTTTAAACGATTTTCATGACATCCACGAAAGGGACACTGTTATTCCATTACAGATCTAACTTAAAAACTCCGCAAATAATTTTCCATACGATGAAGGTTCCCACTGATAACAAAACATTTTGTTTTTCACTCCAACGGTTTTGGTTCTGCTGAAAGAAAACGCTAGGTTAAGTTAAAATTGAATGCGGGCTCAAATATGTTCCGCACTCGAACAGACCAGCGGAACGACTTAAATTCAACATGGCGCATTTGAGTAATGATCCGGCTTCCAAAGATCGGTAAAAACTTTGGTGTCCTTCGTCTTAAATCGCTTCTTAATTCTTTTTCTACAGTTAAAATTAATTTTACAAAAATTGTGTGTGGATCATATTTCAGATGGATCGTGGTTTACCCAGCTTATTTGAATAGCAGGAAGACAGTTCAACAAGGTCGACGTGTTCCTAAAGAAAAGGTATTTTTATTAGCAAATTGTTGTTTAAAAAAAACCTTTAAAAAGCTTTTATAACTAAATTCGTGAACCCCTTAGATGTCGTTTTCGAAAGATCTTGATGTGAATTTAACGTAGGTGTTACAAGTATGTTTATTTTGCAATCAGTACACTGCTAAAATTAATGAATGCTATGAAATGCACGAATACGTTTTTGTTGGTTTTATTTTTTATTTTTAAGGCTGCCGACAATCCAACAGTTTTTGAAATAAGAGATGTCTGCCAGAGTCAAGGACTTAACTGCGAAGTAGAGGTAAATTAAATATTCTAATCTTTTTTATTTTGTTTTTAACTTGTAAATTTCAAATCTTTCTTTGTTGTAAGGTGATTCCTCGGAGAGAAAGCGAGGAATGTCAGAGAAAATGTTGTTGTTTATCGTAGTTTTGTAGATAAATGAACGTGTAATCGTTTTTCTCACGATTTAGAGACTGGTTTTCAGTGGTACTGATCACATAACAAGACCCCTTAGTATTTATTATGCTTAATAGAGTTTTCTCTCAACCAAGAAGAGGCCACAGGGCTTGCTATAAGGAGGAAAATACCCATCTTGAGAGAAAGTTTATCCAACCGGTCTTATTTTTCAGAAGGATGACATTATACATCATGAAGATGATTATAGGTCAAGTTACTCCTCTCACTGCTCCAATTCAACTGTCTTTTAAATTCAATGATCAATAAATTATTAATGGTATATTTACCTTACAGTACTCATAATAAGTTATTTAACTTTTAAGGAACAATGAAACTACTTTTTTTTTCAAACTACTTTTTGAAAGTAGATTTATGACACAATTGTGTAATAGAAAGTGTTCTCACAGTGGCAAAGCTGTGTAACGCAATACACTACAGTTATATATAACGTTTTGCAATGTACTTTCAGAACAAATATTATCCTAAAGACAGTGCTAAAGATGCCTTATGTAAGGGCAGAGTACGAGTTCAACTAAAACAGAGTGATGCAAGCTTTGTCAATGAAAAATTTCAATCAAGTAAGTTGATCTATCAGCTGAGTGTTCACCACATGAGTGTTAAATGCTGTGGTTTTTTAGTATCATTAGTTCAATTTTCATCTCCTTTCATTTCAACTGTACTTGTATAATCATTCACTAATGACAAAGGTAAAGAACATTTTGTATTTTGAACAGAATAACAACACCTACATACTGTTGCAATTTTTTTTTCCAGTTTTGCAATTAATTGTTTTCTGGTTAATGAAGTATCAGAATATTGAAGCAAAAATGTTCTTTCCATGTTCCAAAGACATATTATGTACAAGAATCTGACTGGATCATATTGATTTTTTGCTTTACCTTAGGCAGTTTGTCAAAGGAAAAGGTTACATAGCATGTCATTTAATTCAACACAAGCAAACCAGAAACACAACAAAAGTAATTTACTTTTGCCGCTCATAGTTAAATTGTGTTTTCATCATAAAATTATTCTCAATACAATAAGGTTTCTGAAATATTTCCAGATTTCCCAATTTTCCAAGTTTTACAGTAAATTCCTGCCTCTTCTTAGCCCTTTAACACCCTGAAGTGATTAACATGTAACTTCTCCCTAGAGTATCCATGCATTATCTAGCAAACAGGTAATGAGAATACTCAAACTTATCATGTAAATGATATTACCTTGATTGAATGCCAAATTCTTGTAACCAATTTGCAAGGAAATGTGTAGCAGCTAGAGGAGAGAATTAACAATCAGATCTTGGGAGTTAAAGGGTTAAAAAGGAAAAGTTTAAAATGTTCTGTATTTTGTTTCACAGGGAAAGCATTATTTCTCTTTCTTGGTGAAATGATCCCAAAGTTGAAAAGTCGTCAAAGTAAGTCTTCACAAAGTGAAAATACAAACCAGCAGCAAGGAGCAGGAGCAACAGCAAAGAAAAAAAAAGGAAAGAAAGGCAAAGGGAAATAAATAAGATAAATAAAACCATTGTGTGTATTAATTTTAAACAAGTCAGTATTTTTTCCTCAAAGCTCATTAAAATTGTGGTCTACAATCATTTGTTTCTGTGTTGTTTAATGAGGTTCTGCTGATGTGTGAATTAGTAAGGGTTTTTGATGGATGAGACCTCAAGTGAATGGGTCAGGTGATGGGGTATTATAAAAAGATTTATTGTATCTCTTAGTTTGTACATTTGTTATGATTGGTCGATTCAACAAGCCCTATTTCACTGAATGGCCCACTGAATTAAAAAGTTTATTTGAATTAAGACCTTCACCCTCTATTTGAACTCAGTGATAAAATAAACATCTTACTAACCTTCTTTTCTCAGTCCACACTCTAAGTTATGGAATATCACACTTTACAGTGTATGTAAAGCTATTTGAATGTATGTGCATCATGGATACTTAGGAACCTTTTCTTAAATATTATATTGTCAAAAACAACCACATGCATACTGTAAATTCATGATTTGAAGGCTTTTTTTATTAGATTCCAAGTCTAACCTATTAAATAAATCCATTTTAATGACACAAAGCTCTGCAAAAATCTGACATTGGAACATTTTATTCACCAACCTTAGATATAAAAACTTGACTGGCCTGGAAAAAGTGATGATTTTACACACAGTCAGTGAATGAGTGTGTAAATAAAATGGTCAAAATAATATAATTTTTTTCATTCTGCATCAATTTGGGCAATTGGTTGGAAAGTACTATGTACTGGGAAAAGTGACTTGGAAAAAGTGCAGCTCTTTGTAAATAAAATGGCCAAATTAAATGTTTGTTTTTCATTCTGCGCTGATTTGGATAATTAATTGGACAATACCATGAACTGGAAAAAGTGAAGCTTTTTGCAAATAAAATGACCAAAATAAATTTTTTTTTTATCCAACACTGTTTTGGGTAATTGTTTGGAAAGTACCATGTACTGGACACAATGCTTGTCACGCACAGCCATATATTTTCCAGCAGGCAAAGAAATACTTGTACCAAAGCACAAATTAGGAGGGCCTTCTTGCAAGCTATAACACACTCTTTGTATTTTGGAAGGAGTACTTGATTCTCTCAAATGAAATGCCTCTAAAAGTCTTGCTTGCTGGTTTGAGTTCCTTAACAAGTCACACTTGATTTTAATTTTTTGTTTGAGGTTACTTGTAATGAGTAGAATGCTTAAACAATTGATGTAGCTGGAGTAGCTGAGTGCATTTCTGCGGTAAAAATCAACATATTTCACTGTTTGCCTCACAAAGTTTCTTTAACTGATACTGTAAGAAGTCAATTATTGATTACTTCTGGGAGTGAAGGGGGGAAAAAAAAATTATGAAACAAATGTTTTCAAACTCATGAGTGAGAGTACAATTTAAATGAACAAGTCTTACAACAGTCTTTATAAAAGCTCTCATTTCACAAGGAAATTGTTGATGAGACATCAGACCAAGCATTTGGTAGATTAATGACAACTCTTTTGTCAGGGGGAGCTGAGGTTCTCTTAACAGTTGGATTCCAATGTGGAATGGGTGACAATGGAGGAGAAACTTGTTCATGTCTGGGTTCAACCTTGTCTTGTCCCTTCACAGCCACTGGAGGTTCCTGGAAGTGCACGTGGGGAGAGGTTGGGCGTGGTTGTTGACCTGGAACAATAATAAAAAAGAACACTGGAAATTATGCCATGGTCACAAATTAATAAGATAAAGTTTCTTATTTCTTGTTTCTTGAAAGACATAAATTCCTTGGCAGGCTTAGTATGGACATGGAACAAACAGATATGATATCAAACACTGCAAAACAATAATAACTTGTGCTTGGTAAAAAATTCAAATCAGGGCCTTAGTGAGAGAGGTTGGCACAAACATCACAACATGTTCATATATTGCTTGCAGATTTCATGCCAACAAGGGAATTATATACAGGTAATTTCATTCTTGTAGAATGGTGGACCAGTTATGGCCAATGAGACAGTTTTTTCAGGCTTGTTCCTATTTAATGTACCTTCCAAATCTTGCACATTTCCATCATTTTGTTCACTATTTCTGGCTATCAAACCCTTCTGCCTGTTAGCCATGTTCTGAAGTCGTTCCCTAAGCTGATGGTTGGCAGGAAGTCCATCAAATGCAGTCCTAGTCACTGGTGCAAAAACTTTAGGTTTTGACATGCGTTCTGCTTTTGTGTTTGGTTGGCTAAGGCCTTGATGAGGAGGCTGATGTTGATGGTGTAAAACACCCACAGTTTGAGTGGAAGTTACTGCCGGCCCAGTAGGTGCTGCCTGGGAAGATATTAGAGAGCCTTCCTGAGGTTGTTTGAAAGACCCTTGAGGACCACCTGGCAATAGTCTCACAGCATTGACAGTTGCTGTCTGACCAGAAGGTCCTTGAACATGTGAATTTCCCTGTCTTAAAAATGCTGGTGGAGCAGCATGTCCATGTTTAATAGCATTGCTAAATACTGGATGCAGTCCTTGGTTGGTTCGAGGATGACTTTGTGCTGAAAACCCTTGTGGGTCTCCAAGCCTTGGGCCCATGCCTTTGGCAATTTCAGGCTGCAGTCCTTGAATCACTTGTGGATGACCTTGTGCTGGAAATACTTGTGTGCCACCAGGCCTTGGTTCCATGGCACTGTCAATAGTGGGCTGTCTTTGAGGATGTTGCCTAGGATTATAAGAAGGATTCATGGAGAATCCTGTGTGCACCACTCCAGAGGAGGTACTAGTATGGGGTGGCAGATTACCTGGAGCACTATTGGGCTCACCAGGGATGCCAGGTGAAACCATATAAGGCCTGGCCGCAGATCCTTCCCTCCTTGCAGCTTGTGTGAAGGTAACTTGACTTGGTGGGTACATGACAATGTTGGAGCTTAACTCACTGTGGCTTGGAATCCCATCACCAACTTGAGTTGACCCAGAATTTTGATATGCGGATGGAATAAGCCCAGTTTGAGACATGGAGGAAACCTCTGTGGTGGAACACTGCATCAAATTTGGATCTATTGGCGTAGCAAGAGGTATGAATGAAGGTCCATTTCTGGTGTTTGTTGACAATCCTTGGCCTTTGTCATTTCCAACACTTTTTTGCTCCCCCTTCTCATGTGCTTGACTGACTGGAGCACCTGGTAAATATTCCAAATTGTGATTTTCTTCACCCATTGAATTTAGGGCATCAAAACCACCTTTCTTTAAAGCCACAGGGTTCAAGCTGTACAAGGTATTGATACTGCTAGAGAGAGCTTGATATTCATAGCTTCTCAACACAGCAAACAATTCTCTCTACAAAGAAAAGGAATCAGAATTGCATTATTGTCTTATTTAAACTTTCATTTGACCAGCAAAATATTTACAGCAAATGACCAGCAAATATTTACATAATTATACACTATACATGGCAGGAGCTTTTCTTGGATTCCTCTTGAACCCCTAAGAGTGATTAGCATCTCATTTCTCCTTACAATATCACAGCTGACTAAAACATTAAGCTCGTGAGAACAAAGGAAACGATCAACAGCTGAAGAAACTCTTGATTGTTAAACAAATTCTCCATGTCGGCACCTTAGGAAATGTACAGAGAACAGAATGGGGAATATGCATACTGATATAAGATATAAAGGGTAAAGTGACAAGGAGTAATCCTGCTCCTCCTAGACAGGATTTAAGTCAGTTACAGACCCCTCCCCTCCCCCATTACATTTCCCAGTCTGATGGTTTATTTTTACCCATTTATACTTCTTGTATTAACTTCATCTTTTCTAAAATTCAACTTTTCTTTTACCTTCAAGTACTGCAGTTGCTCATCTGTATTTTTCTTATACTCAAACAGTTCATGTTGCAATGCTTGGTTTTGTTCTTGAGTGTGAAGAATATCCTTAGAGAAAGTATCCATGCGCATGTCAAGTACATCAACCATAAGCAGTGTGAAATTTCATGGATCAATAGTTTTGTGCTGGGGTCAGAAACAAGTACAGTATCCCAGCATTACATTCTCTGAACTAGTACATAATTCCATGCATTAGTTGTCTGTTCTTGTCAGGTTTTGGAGCTCAGACCACAACTACTTCTACTAATGACAATATGATCAAGTTCTGGATCAATATCAGTATTTGGGCAACTGCCCACCTACCCCTCCCCTAACCCAACAACAGTCTATTGATAACAACTTAGGGTTAATGTTGGGTTAGGGGAGGGGTGGGTGGGCAGTTGCCCGGATACTGATATTGTTCCCAAGTTCCTATCCTTCACCAGCTTTAAGCCCCATTTGAAAAGTTGCTATGGGACTGATTAATGAATTGGGAAATTTATTTTTAGTAATATTTCAAACTCACATTAGTCAGAGCATCAACCAAAGCCCTTTGTTCTTCAAATCCCTGTAGTACTTGCTCTCTCATGACCATTTCTGCCTTTCTTTGAACCTCACTCTTGACATCAACAATAAAAAAAATCGCAAAATAAATGAAAAATAGCCTCCATTTTAAGCAAAAGTATGTAAGGATATTTGTCTGTAGACTATATCCATTCCAATATGTAAACAGACGCAAGCAAATATTTGTTGGATTATAATGATTAAAACCCATAACAGTAGTGGGTTAGGCTAGTAAACTCTTTATCTCCCAGAATTGATTAACATGTAACTTCTCCCTATTGTGTACATACATTATTTAGCAAACAGGTAATGAGAATACTCAACCATATCAGGTAGAAGTTGTTATCTTGGTCTAACACCAAATTCTCATAACCAATTTACAAGGAAATGTGTAGCAGCAAGAGGAGAGAATTAACAATCAGATCTTGGGAGTTAAAGGGGTTAAAAGCAAAACTGAATACCAACATGACAGCAAACCAAACCAAGAGTTGACAGAAATTCTTTGACTAAGAAACCCTACATCAAGTTTTCCGTAGTTTTGAAGATGTAGCTAAAACAAGAAGAGCAGGGTGTACAAACAGTAGAGAGTGCACTTATTAGGGAAAGCCATTCTTTTCTGCCTAACTATGTATAACTATAGCAATAATAATGTACCTCTTTCAAGTACCCCATCAACTTGGTGACAGCAGTTATGAGCGATGCAGTGTAACCACTAAAACTTCCAGTGGATGATAGCGAAGGTAACTTAGTTTGCAGTCGCCCTGTTTCATCTTCATATGCAGCTACTTCACCTTCCAGTTCTTCCACCATCTTTTGAAAGTAATCAAAGACAATCATTGGCAAATTGAGCTTCAAAATCTAGATGTAATTAAAGTATAATTTTCTGAGTAAAAGTTTGAAAATATCTCTCTATAACAAGGGCTTATAAGTGGAAGCTTGGGTTTTCACAGTACATTAATATATAATTATTATTATCCGTGTTTTAATTCATCTAAGGTATCATGAAATAAAAAAAATTACTTGCTCACCTTCTTTAAGTCATCCAGGCTTCGTATACCACTTGAAAATGAATTTGATGCTTGTTTGTGACTAGTTTTTGTCTTCACTTTGCCAGACCCCTGAGGACCAGTCCCTGCTCCTCTAACGAGAAGACATTTATACACATATTAAACCCTTGAATTAGCTCTTCCCCAAAATTTTTCTTTAGAAATAATTATGCTATACTGGTACATGTACCTTATTGATTGGTCTCCTACATGTGGTGGAATCAGGTCCCTTGAAGTTGGTTCTCCTATGGACACTTGACAATCATACAGTCAATTATCAAACAATGATTAATTGATGAAACAAATGTTTTCTACAAGAATTAATCATAGTCAAATAGTGAAGAATAAAACTTTTTTAAGTTTATGTTAAACAGATTGCAACACAAGTTCTCTGATTGTTTAAACTTAACCTACAGTTTTAAAGAATTTGAAAACTGGAGAACATTGCTGGGCCACCCTGTCTCCCAATCTTAACCCTATGAACCAAACCATTAAATAAATATGCATATTCCCCATTCTGTTCTTCAGACATTTTCCCATGGGGATAACAAGGAGAATTTATTTAACAATCATGAGCTTTAATTCGCAATCGGTTTTCTTAATCCTGTATACTTATCGCTTGATTCAGCTGTCATACTGTTAGGAAAAATAAGATGCTGGCTTCTGTTAGGGGCTAAAGAGAGAAATTAGAGCTTTCATTTAATATGTGGTACCTGGTTTCACAAAATTAGGCCCTCCTGCAATCACAGTTCTTGATGAATCCTGACTTAAAAAGGAAGGAGGCTGACTTCCAGAATCTTGTTCAGCAAGCACCCTACCATGTGCAAACACTTGATCAGTGCCATGTCCATCTTGGAGTGGCACAGAATCCTCTTCACCAGGAGTGGTAACTTGCCCATCAGTACTACTAGATGTTGGTGGCTCCTGGTCCACCCCACTACCTGTCGGTACTGTGGGTATTGAGTGTCCTGCTTGTCTGCTTTGCTCTTCAGCCACATATTGGCGGAATCTTTGAACATCAAGCATAGGTTGAAAGGTGATCCTTTCCTGGTCAGATGGCGGTGTCCTTGGGGATGACTCATAATCTGCAAAATATTGTACAGTCTCATAATGAACCAAACCAAAACAACACTTTTGCTATCCATTCATGAATCAGTTTAGAATTTCTCTGCCTCCACATCTTCCTCAAGCTCACAATGGATGCAAATGAAATTACTTCTGTTTATATAAAAGGCTAGGTTTGGTTCCTGTTACTATCATCACTACCCTGTTATGGAAACAATCATTTTTAATTAATAGCCAAACCTTGACCAAGCAGACCCAATATTCTAGAACAATCTGAAATAAGCTAAAAATCCCTAGCCTGTGTATAACTGCCCCCCTTACCCTCAAAAAGAAAGCAGGAAATATTCATCCTGTGCTCATACTGGTAAACTTAATTTTTCTCCCCACTTCTGAGTTGCAACCAGTGATAATTTTAAGTTACAAACTAAGTTTAACCTTCTTTGTCATGATCTGGGAGTTCATTTAGTGCTGGTGTCCTCATGATGGAGTCACTCAGTAAAGAAAGATGTGTTGGAGTTTCAGGCATTTCAGCCACAGGACCAACTGGAAGTCTAAGAAAAAAAATTAATACAGAGTGAGAATGATTTACGAAAAAGGGCTCATAACCACATACATGTAACCACAAAATGTACCATACAAACTTGAAATAAATATAGCCATGGCCTGAACATTTAGAAACAACAGGTATTTCTAGCAATACTATGGATTTCCAATTAGGCTAATTTACCATTAAAATAGAATTCCAAATAAAAAATATTGACCTACTTGTTTTCTTTGCCAATCAAAAGATTTCTTGGGGCAACAGTAATGTTAGGAAATCCCATATACTTCTGTTGAGAAAATATATAAAAAAAAAATTAGGAAAGAATACTTAACTACAATTTAAAGTAAATTACAAGTAAAACCTTATAGTCATAACAATTATCATTGGTTTTAATTGCTTTCATTATTATAATTATATAATGATTATTAGTATATACCACACAAGTGTGTAATGCTTTTCCTGTCCACTGATTGACTGGTTTGGAAGTGAAAAGCAAGTACACCTCCAGAACCAGATAAGACTAAATCTCATGTCAAGAGTTAAATTTCCAACCATTTTTTGAGTATATTGAAAGAAATAAACTTATCTTTTGGTATCTGTGTGGTTTATACTAAAACAGTTATGAACCTTAATGTCAGTGTAAGTGAATTTATTAATTTTATCTCATCACTTCATGGCTCAGTAGCTATCCACCACTATTCACCTCCACTTGGGTGAATAATTGTTAATTATCATTATTACTATTATTATTAGTATGATTATTATTATTATTATTATTATTACTACTATTCTCTTTCTTGTTTTCTTCATCATTATCATTACTCTCATCATCTAACTTACCTTTGGATCATCACCAAACAAATCTTTTACAACTGACATCGTCTTGTCTGATTCTGATAACACATCATGGAACTACCAGAAAAAATACAATTTGAATTGTTTACAATTTTATTTCAAGTAGTGAGACATTCCCAATTTTATTCCCACGTTCAATTTTTGTTCCAATCCTAGTTTATCTTTTTTTTTATCTCAGGTGTTAATTTATCCTGAAAATTTACAATTTTGCAGTTTTCTTCTGTCCAGAGGCAATAATTCACAATTATGCTGAAAAATGACTTAAAATAATACTGCAGCAGGTAGCTAGTTTTAATCAACTTTTTTCATTACAAGATGTCCTCTTCTTCATATACCTTATCTTGACCATACAGGACCTCCTGAACGATGGCCAGCTTGCGTCTTTCTACTGTGTCTGGAGTTTGAGTGGTTGAGTCTAAAACATGCATCAAAGTTATAATCATTGTAGTAATATCTATAGAATTGAAGCATCAAGAGAAAAAAAAATATATATGATATCATTGATAATGTTTTTCCTCATTTAAGGGCCTTTCCACACTAGCAGACAAAACTAGAATTCTCTCAGTGTGTTTGCAAAAATAATCTTCCCAGATAAAATAATTTTTTTTGGCCTATCATGACTGTGTCTGAGAGCCAAAGCTTACGAACTTTGCTGGGCTAAAATCACCAAGGAATAATAATTATAAAAATAATAAAATAACATCATGATAATTTCAAACCACATACCTAGGCTTTGGTCTCTGGATTTACCATGTAAATGTACACTGCCTGCATTCTTAGATAGATGAATTTCATGTCTCCTTATCTTGAAAAGGTAGAGATGATAATGCATATAATAGTGATGATAATAATAATAATAGTAATAATAATAGTAACAATAGTAATTACAATGACAAAAATCCTAATAAATAATGGTAATTGAGCTAACTGGGGTGCAGTTTGGCCTGATTTTAAAATTGAACAAGCATGCAGGGGGAGTTTGAGGCAAAGTAATATTTCAGACCAAAATTGCACAACACAAAGCTCAATAACCACTGTAATACATCTATTTTGTAATCGCAAAATTCTCTTGCTTATTGTGTTTTAGTAAAAGTGTCTCATTAGCTGAGAAAACAATGTGATTTAGAGCTTAAAATAGTGTGATGTGAGTAAATTGCAAGTGATTTCAAAATGGATGCAATAATAATAATACAAATGATTAGAGTACTAATAATACAAGTAGCTATGATGATAATAATTAAGTGATCAAAGTAGCTATGCTGATAATAGAAAAAAATCAACTATGGAAGTATGGTGAGTATATCTTAGTTGCCTTACACTTCTGCCAGTTCACATGTAAACAACATAGTCATCACTTAGTCTCTTTTCACCCTTCTATTGAAAAAGTTCTCGGTAAGATAAGAGACGATTTTTTCTAGCTATTTTAAGCAGACTGATTTAAACAAGATAAAGAAATCCTTTCTCCCGTAGTTAATACATGTTAACACTACTTTCTTAAATTGGGAAATCTCCTGGTTCCTTGAGTTACAATACCAAATTTCTGTAACCAAGTTTTTTTTTGAGAGGAAGCACGAGTTTTATTGATCACCTGTTCCTCTTTAGTGGCCTTGTGCACGGTGAGATCTTGTACTGTGTTCTACGATGATAGAAGATGAACGATCAAAGTAAAATTTTTTTTTCAGTTACTTGTACTGCCAGTGAGTTATGTCAACATTGATCAATAAATCGATCGATCGTAACGTAAAAAGAGTGACCCAAACAGATTAATTTTTAAACACTTACGTCCCACTCTGGCTTCTTTTTCTTTCTTCTGGTCGGTTTGGTTTGCTTTGAAGCTACATATCGAACAGGGCGCCGAGGCGGCCGAATGTTGTTGTCGGCAACAAGAAACCCTCGAGACGCCATCTTTGATATTTTTATTTCCCGCCTTCAAGTCTCTAGAGCCCAGTTTCCGCTGGCTCGTCCAGAAAACGAAGCCCAGGCCCCAAAGAGACCATTGTGCGACCTCCCTCGTTCATTTGTTAGCTTTTGTTGCTGCTTTTTCTTTTGTTGATATGGGAAAGAACCAAGAGAGTTTTAAATCAGGGTACTTCGGAATTAATGTGAGCTTCAACAGGCAAACGCAAAAAGGAAGCTTAGAAAGCAGTAATTTAAAACAGAAAGTGAGGTTTGAAAATCGCTGCGATGATTGGTCTACTTTTCGCGCGAATTGAGTGGTTTTCCATTTGATCTCCTAGTACCAAGCCCAAGTTATTTACAGCTGTAAATCCGAACAGAGAAGGAGTCAGGAAAAGCCAATAAGAACTCAAAATAACCACAGGACACAGACTGTGTACAGCACGGAAGAGGGAAGTTAAACGAGTTAAATAGCGTTTAATTAATTGTCCAAGGAAACTCACGGGATGCAAAAGAACAAACACACTTCAGATTTTTGGGTTTACAATGCGACCGTTCATTCCCATATACATCATCCCACTTGGGCTAATGTGCGACATCAAAATATTTCCATGTTTACAAGGGCTCAATGAGCAAGTCTGGACTAACTGTGGTACGGTTCACTTTCCAAGGCGCACAATATGTTTTACAGCATTCTACCAAGAACTTATAGAGGACAAAACATGAAATTTCAAAGTTTTATTATTCAGCTCGATGCACAGACTGGAATAGCTGTGTAAATGAGTACCTAAAACTGCCTACCATTAAGTATTTACAAACAAGGCAGAACTTGACAGATCTTACACCACAGTGCCACCCCGAAAACCAGAGTACCATGTAATTTTATCCACATTCGTAACTTTTTCACCAACGAAAACTCATTTTATTCTTTAGTTTCGATAACTGAAAGACAAAGACAAAGAAAATATATTCATTTAACGCTGATTATATTACACTTATGCCTCAGGAAAAATAGATGAGAGGAAAACATAAAGAAGAGGACGGAAAGAGAACTGTTCCAAAAAAACTCGTCTCGAAATTGCGATGGGACAGAGTCGAAGTTCTCTTTCAATGAGCTTAAAAGCTTTTTCCACGATTTTTCATAATTTTTCTTTAAAAATATCTGTACATAGCAACTACCTCCTGTTGAAAATCTTAAAAAGAACTCGAACCGATATGAATGAATATTCAAATAAATAAATTCGACTTGGGCGGTAGCACAGGGGTGGGATAGGGAGGTCGAATGTATTTCTTAGGGGAGTCGTGTGGTTGGTTTTCGTTGCGTATAATTTCCTTCGTTGCCACAAGGCATAAACTGTAAAGAGAAAGCGAAAATATTTCTCTTTTTATGTTCTTAATTTTTTTTTACCTCCTGGTATGTTGACTTTGTTGGACACCAAGACATCAGCCTGGATTGCTGTCATATTCACATACATGGTATCTGAATGAGACTAATGAAGGGAAGAAAAAAAAGAAGAATGAGAAAAAGGAAAAAGTTAAACCAGTGAGCTCCACACAATTCATTTAATGCATACGCCTCGCTTCCACAAAGCCAGTTAAGCTTATCGCAGATGGCCACTACTGATAGAATTTACATCCAAAATAAGTTCATTTAGATTCAGTTTATTTTTTTCCGCCCTGATTAATCAAAAGATAAACATGTACACGACCTCCTTGACAGAAATTATTTGTCACTTTATTAGCGGTGAGCGGACCAGCTCGACTCTTGCAAAATTGTAGCTAAAAAAAAAATTGTGACACACGAAGCGAAGCCGAGTATCCATGACGTTCTTAGCACATTTGCCGTCTTTTATGATCGATAACTACACAGACCCACGGCAACAAGGAATGTACTTGTTTTAAAAGATTGAAAGAGCAAAATGTTGTTAACGCTTTAACTCCCCTGAGTGACCAACATAGAATTTCTCATCACTATATCTATACAATATCATGTAAACAAGTGATGAGAATAAAGAAAAATATAAATTATAGGATTACTAATTGATCCGATATCAAATTCTCCAAACTAACATAATGAGAATTGTTTGGCAGATAGTAAGGAGAATTACTAATAAGATCTTGGGAGTTATAGGGTTAATGGTGACGTCATCTATGGGTCTGTCCTCGAATCGATCATAGGAACCAATCAAAATGTTTGTACATTTCAGCTCATCATATAATGCACTATGGTTTCCATAGCTCTCATCATAACGTAAACGCGCCCTTTTTAAGTGTCTGAGCAGAAACCTTTCATCAAATTCGACCAATCAAATTGAATTCTTACCATGAATTCTTCATAAAACGTATCACCAAGTGCCTCGCGAACACGGTCGTTCACAAGAGGATAAGATCGCACAAAAAACTGCGGAGGGTTAAAAAAAGCCATTTTATCATGATTAATAGCAGTAACAAAAATATGACTGTTCGAGCCAAACTTAAGCTTTCTCGTGATTTCAAAATAGATACTAGCCGGTTTTAAAACTTTTAACATGGCTCGGGGTTGATTAAATATTACTACTATTCTATTAATAAAAGTGGCTCAAAACGGTTTCGTTGATTTTAGACTTTGATGGATTAATATTACGAGAGCCACCTTAAATTTAACAAAAGTTGAGGTGGCTCTGAACTATATGTACAGACGACTGGTAACGGCAAAATTGTCGGAGTGACGGAAACTAAACGATTGCCTTATATGGTAATTCTCGCCTCCACTACACTGATGCTTCTCGTATACCTCAAGAGCGATCCCAGCTTGTCGTTGACTGTCGGCATGCAGGGTGTTTCCCATGGCAAAAAGAAGTCCGTGAACAGTTCGCAGCTGCAAGAAAATTCAAAGATGACAAGTTTCCTTACAGATGAGACAAATAAAATACCAACAAAACGCGCAAGGAAACTAATTTTTTTCATATATCTGTTGCACTTACTTGGACAAGACTTTCCGCTGTTTTGGGCGATTCTTTAGCGAGGATTCTAGACATGAAGCAAAAAAACTTTGCGTGATTAATCTTACAGTTGGAGGATGCATACCAGCTCAAATATTCACATTTAATAAGAAGATTTACAAGAGCCACATTGTTAAATGATAGCTATTACGGTGCAGTCACGGCCTTTGCCAATACTGCGCAAGTCACGTAGCTGTGTTGGGCTTAAGCGAGCAGGCTAGTTTCACGCAGTGCGTAACATACTCATGTCACACTATTTAACGCTTAAGTCACATCATTTTCAGGTTAAATGTCTCTGTCATTCAAGTTAAGAGGTCGACATGCACTAACACACTGCAGCTCTAAAAATGGCTCTCTAGTGGCACTGGTAGTCATACAAATGTCATATAAGGTAAGAAGTCAGTATGCTCTATTTTAGCCCAGTAGATGTCTTATTTAACAGCTTTATGGAATCCTTCTTGTAATCACAAATCATTATGCAGACCAATTAACAACATAGTAGTACAGAATTTCTTAAGAAAACATGACATGGCATGACATGAAATCATGAAATAAAGCAAAAAAAAACAAAAAAAAAACTATCCTCTAAAATAGTCTTACCCAATCATCTTAGCAGCTGCTGCCTGCTGGACAAACACAGGGAGAGGGGCCTGGAGCTGAGGTGCATCAGGATCTGTGGGCAACAAACATCACTGTCACATGATCATTTATCTACATATACAGTCAATTACAAACATTATAATTGTTTAGACTGTGTGACGGAAAACATTTCTCATTCAAATTGTGAGCTACTATGGGTAAGATAGTGATATAATTTCTTACAAACCTGATAATGTAGCTTCAGAGCTGTCCTTAATTTCTTCTTTGGTTGGTTTCAGCAGTCCAACCAGACCATTGAGCAGAGAGTGCTGCACGTCATACTCCATGAGCTCTTTAATCAGCTCGCAGGCTTCATACTGAACCTCCAGGTGAAGAGATCTCAGCAGCATCAATACTGGTTCCACTATGGTGGGATTGGCTGCTCCCACAATTGGCTGAGGCAAAAAAAAAATTTATCTAAAAATCAAAAACTGATCACAGGGTCACAACATGTCTACAGGAGTGTAATTGCTTGCCAAGCAAACAGAGTGAAGTTGCTTTGAAAATTGTAAGGGTGCATGTTTGATGATACAAACCTGCACTATTCTAAGAGTCTGTGCAGCCATCTGTTGAGCCTTTGGAGACACACACTTCAGCAGGGCAATCAATGCCTTGTAGACTTGTCCTTCATATTTTGGATTTCCCTAAAAAAATGATATTACCATTATTGTCATTAATGATTCATCCAAATGGTCATCATTATGGTCATCACCATGCAATGGTATTGTTGTCATTAGCCATTTTAGAAAATTGTAGAAAATTGTTTATACACTTGGAAGTATGGTGATGCTACCAAAAAGTAGACAGCCAGCATTGACCATCAAGTTTTATCTTGTACATAATATTATCTACCCTTAGCTCAATCTTGAATTTTTTTTTTTTTTGAAGGCTAGCCAGTACAAAACCCTGCTAATTAAATGTAGCAAGCAAAGTTTGCCAGCTTTCCACCATTATTGGAAATCCCAGGTAAGAAACAAATTTCTTCCCATAATAAGCCACTCGTTAGTTAAATTTCACCTTGTTTAGGATCTGACCTGAAATCAAAGTACATGTAAGCAATCATGTTCAAAAATAGGGGGCAAATATTTATTTATCGCCAGTGCATGTGAACTTACATTGGAAAGTTGCTGCAATAAGTTTCGGGCACAATCCTGAGTCTCTTCGGAGTTTGATTTTGCAAGACATTCTGCAACAGCCCTGATTCCAAAGCTTTCACAAATAAGCTCTTTGTATCTTCTACCTGAGTTTGCCACACACATCAGCAGCTTTAGTGCTTGTGCTTTATCTTCCTGACCAAATCAAAGCAAAAGGTAAGCTTAAGAGTAAAGTCAACATGCATGTACACATTGTGCTCACAGGGCTGGTAGAGCTTATTCCAGCTCATAAACATGGCACAAAGCAAACAAAAGTGTAACCACTCCTCTTACAAAGGATGGTAAAGTGGATTACCGAGCAAGAATGCACCAAGCTGGGTCCGTCAATCTAGAGTTCCACATTCCAAAAATTGGGCAACCATGTCTCTCAAACTATGTAAGCTACCTGTCTACAGGTAATAAAATATACTAACCTCTTTTGCCTGCTTGAGACCAAGAATTTCAAGAACAGTCAGCACACCACCAACTTCCAAGAATTCTGCCAAAAATTTATGCCTGGGAGAGGAAAACAAAAGGGCCTTCTGATAGTAGTTCTCCAATCAGTAAAAAAAGGGATAAACACATGAATTTTTCAGTAACTAACAAATACTGACACTTGTGGAATAAAACTTTTGAAAACAGCCGAATACTATTTTCACTTTTTTGGTGCTAAGTACAAACAGTACTACATTCCCATTTGGGGTTTAGCAAGCTTTTCGACTTCTTGTGGGCCTGTTCTCTGAGAAAGTTCAATTTTTGTTTCAACTTTTGCAAGAATCATATTGAAATTAGTCAAGCCAGTGAAAAAGAAAAAAAAAGGCCCAGGCTTACTGGCTGGCTATGCCCCTGCAAGCATTTAATCCTTTAAACCCCAAGAGTGACCAGCATCTTATTTCTCCTTACAGCAATTCTGTTGAATTATTCACTAAGATCATGAGAATAAAGGAAATGATCACCAACCTAAGAAGCTTTGATCTTCAAATGAATTCTCTTTGTCAATAACAAAAGTAACATATGGAGAAGATTAAGGAGAATATGGATACTGATGTTCGGGTGTCAAGGGTTAACAATGATTTGTTACACCAATGGAAGTAATTCCTCGCAAGGAATGCAAGGAAAGGACAATCAAGGATTAAATCCAACCACATACATCAACTCTGTGGAATGACTCACCCACTTGAAGAACCAACAAAGATGGTGATTGCTTGAAGCTGCAATTGAACGCATGTTCCAAGCATGTATCTTCATTGTGCAAGAATACAAGTTAAGGAGCCCGAGTGAGAAAACAATTATATTAAATATTATTAATTACTATTATTAATAATTTAAGTTATGCACGGATTCCAGAAAAATTACCAGCTCAAGCTATGGACTTGGCATCTGCTAATCAGAGAGTTCTGGTCACTTTTAAACAGGATGTAACCAATCAACATCTCAGAATTGGGCAGTAAATCACCAGGAAAAAAAAAAAAAAAAAGCAGATAAACCGTGATAAATAAGATCCATCCCTAGAATTGCAACGATTTTTTAAAAACTAACTCATCCAAAGAGCCTACCTCAGCTAGGATGAAGAGCTCTTTCTTCGTGGTCGATTCACAATGGAACAAGAGCTTAAGAGGAAAATTAATGAATAAATGCATTTGGTTTATTCGGAAAGCTT